ACCAAATATCACTCTTAAATTGCTACCATTGCCATGACTATACACTTTAATGGCTAAAAATGTGGTTATAGCACAGAGCATGCCTAGACTGGCTGGCTAGATCCACTATCACAATAGCTTAAATACTACTATCACATCACGATAGCTTCTATACTATTGCGATAGTGAATATATTCGAAACTATCGCCCAGCTCTATTGGTTACTAAAACTAATACTAAAACTAAAAGTTTTTTTGGAATTTTACTAAAACTTAAAACTAATACTAAAATTACTATGCCTACCAAAACAACACTAATTTTAGTCAATATAGGTATCATAACCTTTAGAGCCCAAATGGCCTAACTTGTTAAGCTGACTGCAATGAACCTAGAGTTACAGGTTCGAATCCTGGTTTTCTTTTTTTAATTTTATTTTATGCAATTTTTGTCCTGGAAAAAATTAATGCCCGGGCTTTTATTCGAACATTTACGGTATGTTTGAAGAACTCTGGTAAAAAGGCATAAAATTAATGCTTTTAGTGTATTTTGAGAAAATGATGTTTAAAAATGAAGACAAGCATTTATATAGTGGAGTCACTGGAGTGTATTACCGTATAGCCGGAAAATTTGGCGGAGAATCAAATTTGGCGGATTGGCAGTTCAAAATAAAATGGCCAATATTATAACCGTCAATAATAATTAAAATTATTATGGGCGGGTCCATTATACTAAAAAATTGCAGTATTTCTCACTATTTCAGTCACAAAGTCAATACTGTGGGCAAGGACTGCCAAGGAGCAGCTTTAAGAAGAGCTGAGTGCGCGTAAAGAAAAGACAAGATAGTAAACCGCCAAATTAAGTGACCGCCAATATTATATTTAGGCAGTTTTGATGTGAAACCGCCAAAGTTTTAGGCCGCCAAACTTTCTGGCTGTACCGTATTTCAAGTATAAAAAATTTCACAGATTTTTTTAAGATTTGCGAAATTAAATTCTTTGAAAATCAATTTAATATGATACAAAATGGTAGAAAAGTGGCAATTTGCAAAAATTAATTCCATGAACCTCCGGATACAGGCCATTCGTGAAAATTATTATTTTCGAAATAAACCCATGATACAGTACCAACTCTTCTTTATCTTTATTAAAGAAGACTTGAAACTTTGCATAATATTGACTTTTGATCAGGACTCTTTAATTACAAGTATACTGTATATTTTAGCAACAAATAATAGAAAATTGAAAATGTGAAACTTTAGTATCACCCACCTTACAGCAATCAGTAATATGTATGTATGTGCGCCAGTATACATATAGACTCACGTTAATAGCATCCATCTCTTCTACAGTAAATGGTGCTCGACCATACCCGACAGATAGATCAGCATGATTCAATGACTTCACTTGAGTATGACCAGTACTTCCTTTGACTAGATTATCCAGGCTCAGAGTTATTAATGCTACAAGACAATACTTATGATGCAAAACCATTTATGATCAATAAATCTACATACGTTTTCCATCTGGTCCTTTTCTTGCAGGAAAACTGATTAATGGCACTCTAGGAAGTGCTGACAAGAGTGGTGGTAGTCTTATTGACCTGTACAGTAACAGTGAAGGGATTCCCTGAGTCTCAAACAGTCTTCTGCAACACTGGAGCATACTGTTCTAATTAATGCGCAGGCATCAAGCCACGCCCACTAAGGAAAATGGACAACTGGAGGTCAGGAGGAATTAGGGTAAGAAATGAGGAAATTATGTACTAGATGATTATAAAATTACAGAATGAAGGATCTCATCAGTACAGAGGAACATCACCACGGCTCTCTAGCGTCCCATACCAGGTATTTGTGTCCGTTAAGCATGCCTGTATGTTAATAAGGCACCATTGTACAGTCTAGGATACAGCCATTACCAGTATCAAGTGAAATACCGCTGACCCCAGTGTGGGACCGTCATACATATCCTCCAGCAGCTCAGACTTACTCTACAGGGGCAGTTGAGGTTCATGGAAGGGAATCCTCACCTGTTGATATTAAATCATCGTCAGGACGACACGTGACTCTTGATAGAATTGAAGAAAAGATTAGTATGTCGCGTGTGCATTTACTATACATGTTACCATATAGCTAGAATCTTTTGTGGCCGAAAATTTTTGGGAATTTTGCTTTTTATTCAAAATTCACGAAAATAAAATCCACAAAGATAAATTTAATACAGCTCAACATAGCCAAAATTGTGAAAATTAAAACCATAAAATAGATTTTTGGATGATTTTGTAACATTTTTGGGCTATGATAATTTCTCGCTATACGGTATATAATTACCAAGTATTGTTTACTCATTATTTTGTTATCTTCTTGTTTGTACATGTAGGTGTAGATCACATAATATTTGGAGCTAAGTATGTATAATTGTTACTAAAGTAACCAACAAAGTGTGAATATTGTTAACCCTTTTGTATTCTATTGCAGATTCTTACTTCACAGTTGTGTGACATATCCATTTACTGTATTCAGCCGTCAGTGTCAAGTATGTATTGCCATGTGTAAATATTTATAATTTATAATGCTAATTGGGTTGTTATAGTGTACTTAGCCTAAGCAATAAATACAGTACATTACATTTAGAGCAACTTAAAAATCATAAAAGTCAAAATTTAATCTGAATCAGTTCAAATTGTCTACACAACATAAGAACATGTATATGTATCAGAAAAAATTGTAAAAGTTGAGAATTCTCTCTTAGCCCTTTTTGACGGAATTTGGCCCAAGTATAAAAATGGAGAATTTTCTCATTGGGATTTTTGTCAAAATTCCCTGTACTATTATAGCAATTAGCACAGATATTATGATGACTCAATTTTTGAGCAACTTGACAATTCACTGACAAGAAGCTGTATGCCAAAATCCTGGAAGTGAAACTATTAAAGAATCAATGTTAGTCTGTTTTGTGGGCTAATGATTTTGTGGATTGTAGCTATTCTACTCTATTT